GGTTGTGAGACTTGGCCTATTCGAGCAGCGGATCTGAGACGTCTTCAGGTGTTCGACAATCGTTGTCTCAGGACCATAGCTCGTGTGGGTTGGTGTCGGCGAATCCGTAACGAGGCAGTTAGAAAGCGTGTTTTCGGTTGTGTAACGGGTACTTCCATTGAAGAATGTGTCCAGCACCAGAAGCTGCGTTGGTTGGGGCATGTTTTACGCATGCCGAACCATCGTTTGCCGAAGAGAGTACTGTTTTCCACGCCCAATTCGGAGTGGCGTAAACAGAGAGGTGGCCAACCGATGACCTGGCAGAGGAGTATGAAGGAGATCACGAAACGCTTGGGTGCTGTCGGTGCTACTCGCCTTCCAGGATGGGGACCGCGTGATCCTCACTGTGCCTGGTTGGAGACACTACAAGATATGGCTGCCAACCGATGTCAGTGGCGTTCTTGTTGTCGGTTTCTATCCAGATTGCCTGAGTGAATGTCTGGAGGTGTAGGCATCTCGGAATGATTGTGTTAAGCTAGCACTAAGTCCCTCCCCCATCCACGTTTACTCTTTTCTTTACAATAAGGCTTTCAAATAAGTCATGGTTGTACAGCAGTGAAGTATCGGTGTTGAGCACCGATGTCATGCTGTCGATGATGATGATGATGATGATGATGATGGTGCAGTACATCGGTGTGTACACCTCAATGACCTATTCAGCCACTTTGGGGGATCCCCACCTAGCCTACAAAGAGATTCGCCTGGTTAGTCACTGGATAAAGGTTGCAAAATTACGTTCTTCTGATTTTCTCGGTTGAGGTTTGGAGCAGATTTCTCTCTACATATTTGGATAATACAAGATTGGTGATTCATTTCGAGGGTGAAGCAGCTGCACAGTGTTTCTCGACACGTTGGTTTTAATTGTGGGACGAAATATCCCTTAGAATTACAGAGCTTGTGGCCTAACTTCGTCGTAACGAGATTTATGGTATCCTATCTTCTCCGTTTTTCGGTTGCACGCGAACTCAGGATTCAGGTCATATCCTCATGGTATTAGGTAATAGCAACATACATATAGAATATCCACAATCTTGATGTTTCCTGACTTGGAATGTGATCTTGACTTTTTCAACCGATCCGTTCTTCTAAAAAACTTGCTCGCCGGCATGCTCCACGAAAGTTTTTCATTATGATGCAGATGAAAAATTGTCTACCTGGAATGTGCGGATGGAGCTGTCACGCTTTTTTAGGGAAAAAGAAGAGCACAGCTGTTTTGGCACAGCTCACTAGACTCATTCTAGCTTGTCACATGTGACGGTCAGTTGTGAAGTCATGCGCAACGATATACACTCTGAATGTTTCTTGCAATTCAAGCCATAATACTGCTAGTGCTAGTATGGGAGAGAGAAAAGCGATGTACGCGTCCGATAATCTCAAATCGCGTTCGCTCGTTTGCGCCAACAATGGCTAATCTGTTGGTTTTAAGCTTCGCATATCTGATGATCCTTTGTTGAGGGTTTCGTATGGCAGGAAGCCTTGGCTTCGATGAGCAGCTGATCGGGAGTGTCTTCATGGCTTTGACCACGGATGTCTCGGAACCATAGATTGAGTCAGTCGGCTTCAACGGATTTGCGACAAGATTCATTTCAATTCAATTTATCAGCTATAAACCGTGTGCCATAGGCACATTGATTCCAGCTGCTACAGTTTCGATCACCGAAAAACAGGAAAGTGGGACGTACATCCAATCCTTGGAGGCGAATGCTTGTTCAGTTTGTTCAGAAATCGGCTAGCTACGCATTAAAGACGATAGCTTTGATGCATGAGCGCCACTGACTGCGCGATTGGGCAATTTCCGCCATGAACCACTATTGATTTGGGTCCCGGGGTCCCCATCCAGGTAGGCGGCAGTTGACAACCTGACTAAGTTTACTGGTTGGTTTTTTTTCTTACTTCGTAGCCAGTTCATACCTCTCGGTATGAACTTTCGGTTCCATCTTTCGGTCGCTTCCACTCATCAAAAGAGCTGGGCGAAAAGAGCTCTGTGAGGCAGATGGTCTGCTGGCATTCGGAGTACATCTCCTAACCAGCCCAACCTATGAAGTGTGAGTAATTCATTTATTGCGGGAAAGTTCCTTCTTCCTAAGACCATCTGGTGTGCCTCAGCAATAACAACCGATGTTCCCACCAGACCTGACCAATGCTGCGGTTGCGACAAGATTACCAGAAAGCGGATTTTTAGTTGAGAAGCAGATGCTACCATCGAGAACCGCAGCCACCAGAACAATTGACGGCGCCTTACTAGTGTTTTGCTGGTATCGAGCCATCTACTACCTATAAGAATGCTTTTTCTCACGATTAGTTCGAAGTGGCTTGAAGGAAGAGTTAGGTAAAAGTGATTTGGCAGCAAAGTCTGAAAGGAAAACACTTGGGTTTCGGTATTGCTATCCTTTTTTCTGAGTAGTGCTTGCTTAGTCCTCCACGTACCTGGCTATCAAATGCTCCTTGTGACATTCATACTGCCCGCTTGTATCTCGATTGTATAAACGTTTCGGGGTGTAAGAACCTCGGAATATTTGCGTTGAATCAGTACCAAGTCTTTTCTTTTTCTCTTTTTTTACCTGAGGGGATCTTTTAGTTAATGGTCAAGTGAACATTATGTTTGCACGATGGTGAATCTTTGATGTTCAGCCGCATTGTTGAGCTCGATAGTGATGAGGTTGTCGATGATGGATATTGATGAGAATGAGGATGTTTCGTCATACGTTTCATCCTCGTTTCCTTCATACTGTATTACATCGGTGACGTACTTCAACTAATAACAACTGTGCGCCAGTTGTTAGCCTTACCTGGTCTTCATATGGGTAAAATCCTAGATCACGCAACGTGTTTCTCACGAGGTACCTTAGGATCATTAGGATTTTTATATCTACCTTTTGCAAACGCCATGAACTAATGACCCATCGCCGCAGCGCGATGGTCCCAAAGTCTCGATACGGACAACTGAGAATCATCAGGTTCATGGGCGAATGCGTCGCTTAATTTTACGTTGAAATGCCGGTTTCTTTCACTTGCAACATACCATGCAGAAACAACTTTGGAAAGTTGATGCAGGCTTCGTTTACTTCTATACCTACCCCCCCCCTCACAATTCTTCCTTGCACTCAACTCAGCAGACTAGATATGGACGGATTCGAGTGTTTGAGTTGCTTCTGGCGCATTTCTTACCGTTCAGAACGAAGGAATCGTAATGTGAGATGGAACATCAGGCTGTCGAAAACGGTTCATGCGAACTCTGAAGCTTCCTTGGTTATTTGTCGTAGATCGTTCAGCCCAGTCGTTTAACCATGTTTCATACCATCTTGCACCGACCACGTAGATAAGACCCTACTTTCGCTGTCAGCCACTTATCTATACCTTTGACTGAATAAGCAGTTCCAGCTGTTCATTTCATTATTCTCTTAGATGTATACGGACCTGACGACTTAACCCCGTTCGTCACCAGGTGTTCTTGATGACATTGGATACATTGAGACAGGTTTACTTCCGTGTGTACCTCCCTGTGCGTTGTACCAACTGCCATCAGTTATAGCGGATCGGTTTTGTGTCCATTTCGGTAGTTGTGCCCTTGCGACTGATTGGAATCTGGTTCAGTGTGACTGAAATAGTTGTTTCTGTTTTGTGAAAAGCGCTAAACTGCAAGAAGCCTTAATTCAGGAAGGTTCAGTCATCAAGTCTGAGATATGTGGTATAAGCTTTGGCTTATACTTATGCAAGCCTATCGGCCTATCTTTATCATATTCATAGATTTTCTTACACGTGGTTTGTAGAAACGGATGGTGAAGTCGAAGAGGATGAAACTGTTATGATGATTAAAGAGCTACTGGATACCAGAATACGACCGACTGTTCAGGAGGATGGTGGGGATATCATCTACGTGGTGAGTGTTCACCTGAATCGTATGTTAGTCACATTCTAGTGTACCAGCACACGTTAATTTTTCTATTTCGTTTATTTGTTTGTCTCAGTTATCCACTTCTCTGTTAGTGTTTTCGGCGAAAAAACGTTGGTGTTCAGAGCTTTCCGTATCTTATTTGACTGCTCGTCTATAGGGGTCAGATTATGCACCACTACGTTACTCATGCTCTTGTGCTAGTTCCGCGACTTGTCTCGTGAACAGGTTCGTTAACGTGCACCCTAACTCATGAAGGAATCTCGCAAACAAACCATTGGTTTTGAGTCAGCTGGCTGTTGGGTTCGGTAATTGACTTGCTTACGTTCGGCATCAGCCAGAGAGGGGTCATCGGTGCACTCACTGACAGCTTCACGTCGAGACGTAGGCAAGAGAGTTGTCGAGCTCATTGAGGAGACAAATGGCCACTTGGTTAAGAACCAATAAATGCAATTGAGATAGGAATATTTCAATATTTTGCAAACACTTCACTTACAGGACGAAATCTCCATTGTACTGTTGGTCCGTAAGTACCTCAGAGGAACGATTTCACGTAATCACTCGGCTAGCGAGTCAACACGTGACCCTGTAACGCGGTTTTCGTTACTGGAAGATAAGTGGTGCCATGTTCTGTTTAACTGAGAGTTAATTCCAATGCTAATCGGCCGCTTATGTCCGAACGGCTGAGTGCTCATACTACTAGTCTGAATGCCACGGATTTAGAACTCCCTGAAGTTTCGTTAGGTGCATACTACTGACGACTCTCAATAAGGAATAAACAGCTGTAGAACGTTTCAGCTTAGATAGGCTGTACTGACAGGACGAAATCTCAGTGGGAAATGTTTCCAAAAGTTTAGTCATATTAAGCTATTCACACTACTCACAGGACGCCTATTATAAACAAGCTTGGTTTGTAGTCGTAAGTATTCCAGGTGGCGATTGATAGTAAAAATGTCTCCAGTCAAGTACAACATCGTAAGTAGAGGTATATGGCATGGTACCCGTGCACGCTACCACCACCGCACCACACGGCGTTTATGGAGCGCTTAATTTGATTTAGTTTATCCGTTGATACCTGGATTATTCGTCGATTAGTAGCTGACAGAAGCTGTCATTGCTCTAGTTTCTAACAAGGGTAGTTGTACACCTGCACTTAGAGGTTTTGCTTTTCCATTACCAAACAAAATATGCTTTTGCGCCTAAGAACTGTGAGATATAACCACGTTCCTTTTGTGTATGCTTCTGTTTAGTCTGGTTGTCCTACTGCATCCCACCAACTACACATGCACCCTGGTGACTTAGCAGTTTGAGGCTAGGTTCGATACAATACGGGCAGAAAGAGAAAACTGGTCTGATGGATTCTTAGGATGTGAGCACTAAGAGAGTCAATGTCTAGAGATGCTCTGTTTGACGTCTACGCAGATTTCAGTAAACGATCTGTGGAACATCAAGGTATGGCATCGTTCGTGATGACAATCAGTTCACGTGTGGAAGATTCCAAGAGCACAGTTCATGATCACCTTTTTGCGCTTTCTTCTTCAGACTCAGACAGCGAACTCGATGAATTCTCACACGCAAAGGCAGTTCAGCTATAACACCATTTCGGTGCTTAACCGCCATGCAACTAGAGGGAAGAATGAGGGCTGCGATACTGCCAGGTTGCCGAAGCCTAGACAGGGAAAGTCGAGTGGCAGAGGTCGGGTTTGAGCCACGGACCTCCCGGTCAGTACATTCGCGCTCTATCTTCTGAGGGCTCCCATAAGTGCAATCGTCGAAGTTCAAAGCTAATACAATGTAAGGTCCACATGGTCCCATGAACGTGACTGCCTAATGTGACCACTCAGGGCTCGTTGACTCAGTTCAGAATCAGCTCTGCAGAGGTTTTATTTTCATTATCAGGGCTCGTTCTATGCATGGCTACTTGATAACTCAGGTAGCTACAGTGTGCTCACACTACGTCGGTTTGTTGAATCTGTGTCGAGTGGCAAGGTGCAGTTAGACGACAGGATGGAAAAGCGCACAATAAATGTAATGTATAGGTTCACGTCTTCTGGGTTGAAAGGATTGGAATAGACCTTCAGAGAGGTCAGTTAAGCATTTTGGTTTAAATTCATTTCCGAACTTTCAATCCACCGTACCGTGGGTTTTACGGCCTGGAGGTAAATGATACGGTGCATTCACCGAATAACCATCCATAAAACCCTGTCAATCAAATACCACTTGAGTAGATTTTGTGCTTTGATGGATTACTTTTTAGTAATAAACATCTTTTCTGATAATCGTTTTTTCACGAACACTTATTTCTCCGTAAGGTTTTGTTCAATTCCCATTACAAGCAAATTTGATCGTATTGACCATAGAACTGTATTTTACTTCAGCTTCTGAAAGAACACCGAGTTTGAAAAGATTGCCAGTATACTACAGGCCTTAAAGAGCTTTCTGGACTGTGGCACATCAGTACAAATGTTCGGGTTGAATAGAACGCACCTGTCTTTAGTTGTAGATACCTACGAGCAATCTGAACCAGGATAGCTGGGTGTCTTTCACATCCAGCGACATCGCAGTGCTTCGGAGCGTAGCGTTCTTCAAGGAGACGAAGACGCTTGAAATGTTCTGTAGGTTTGATGCTTGGGGTCGCAGCGATGCGTGTTTTTTAAGGATTCTGCGATAAACCCGTGAGTTCAGTGAATAGGTGAATTCTCGTGATCTGTCTAAGAACGCACGCGTACCGGCGGAGAAACTGTATTTTACTTCAGCTTCTGAAAAAACACCGAGTTTATTCACTTTTGATATTTTTTTCATGTAAACGGTTCGTGGGGGTTCTGGTGACATCAAATACAATCCTCTAGAACCAATACTGTCCAGTCTGCGAAAGTCACACATGCATGCCTTATGGATTCTTCCCGGCACCTTATCATAGTTTGTCTAAAATCTCCACCTCTTATTTGCTCTTCTAGGGTTTCAAGGATGGCATTGTTCGGCTGAAATTACAAGGATCCTGTTCCAGCTGCCCCAGCTCTGTGGTGACATTGAAAAATGGCGTTCAAAATATGCTCCAGTTTTACATACCCGAAGTTCTGGGGGTGGAACAAGTTGAGGATGAACTTGATGCGGTCTCCAAAAAGCAGTTTGAGGAGGCTGAGAACGCGCTAAGAAGTCAGGACACAACAGGCCATACAGGCTCATGACTACCAGCTTAATCCGTAACACTTTCTTTTCATCTGTGTACAGATTATCTTGATTGTGCTGCTGATACATTTCAATCAAATTCGTCGACATCCCCGTTCCCTAGGAACTACGTTTGCATGCACCCAAATGATGTGGGTTTTGTTTTGTTTTGACTGCTATGAACTCTTGCTATGTGCTAGGTTGAGGTTAGCTCAACTGTTCGGTCGCAGTATTTTTCCGTAATGCACCTTGATACCGGGAATATTACAGGTCTTTCGAGAAGGACAGTACAGGCATTCGCCAGTATATTGTGAAAGATCACACTCACTGAGTGATTCAGGTGGCCATCAGAGCATCAGAAACATGGTTAAATTCGTTCACTCCAGCCATGAACTCACCACTTACCACATACCTTGTTCAGTTGGTTTGATAAGACCACCTCGGCCATGTTTTTGTAAAATGTATTTGTGGCAGTATAAAAATAATTGTTCTGCTTGTCTGAACAGCAAATGGCGGCGAATTTCAAGGTGCAAAAGAGGAATCAAACTCCCAAAAACGAGTCCGCGATGATGTGAACTAGGCTATATGATAGCAGTCTTATTGTGCCAACCAAGCGCTTCGGTGCGTCGAGCATGGCCTGGCATTCTAAGATTCTGATGAACGTCCATATCTCAAAGCACGAGGGGAATGTCCTACCACAAGCCACAAGAAATAACCAGTTGTTACTGACTGAGACTGATAAATAGAAAAGGTATTTGTTCAGAAATCGAGGGTTTTCCCATATGTTTCTGGAAGCCTAATGGGGAAATGTTACGAATTAGCGTTGAACTTCTTCATCCATGCATTTCTACTAGGTTTAGTTATGAAACCATTCAGTGTTTGGCTCTCTTTGTCATCCTTCGTGATAACAGTCTCCTCAGTTACTACCACCAGCAAAATCCTCGTGAGTCAGTAAGTCAGAACTTTCGCTGTTGAGCAGTGAAGATGAACTAAACACATACCAGAAATAGTTGAATAACCTTTAGATAATCGAAGTAATGCTATTAGTTAATTGCACTTCTGCAAGATGAACTGAAATCCCCGAGACATATGTATGCAGACAAATTGGAGTGATCCGAATACGCGGCTTTTACAGTAATAATGGCATGTAAGGCAATAGCTTGTGTTTCCCCAGGTTACTTGGGGTAAGCGCTTACACTCAGTGGAAATCTGACACCGATGATTTATACCAATAGCTGGTGAATAAGCTATTTGATGTCGTATCTTGCCTTCGCTGTGTTTGCCACTGTTGGTCACTGCAATCGTAGACACATGCCGTTGAATGATCCACACACCAACATTAGTTTCCTGCTAGCTCATGAATCCAATCGCAAAATTTTGGCGTGGTCTACACGTTGCGACTCTTCAGTCGAAAAGCATACTGACCCTTCGGGTACGCGGAAACTGAGGAGGATGGTTCGGATGCCTCAGAAAAGCAGGGCGGCGGAGGTTGCAGTATAATTTTCCTTACCGAAACCCGTAGGTACCGAAAGGCGAAAGTGTGTGCAATAACGCTGGTATACCGGCGCTGTAAACTTTGTTACTGAAAACGGTCAATCGCCTGTACTTGATTTGACGACAATTTTCTGTAAGCGGCTTATGACGAATAGCTTGAATGGAAACGGCTCGCTGCTGTTCGGTTTACAACAAGCTTCTGATTGTTTGTGTTGGATGGTTTCAGGTTTATTGTAATCTCGTCGGAAAAAAATTACGATGTGAAGCCGACCCTTAACATCGGAACCGCGTAACGCACAACAGAAAATACTTAACGACTTCCGTGAGGTAGAACCAATATGTCCCTAAATACGGAGTATCCCTAATTCTACTGACTCTCCTCAGGCCTCCAAGCGGACAACCACGTCGTGACGTCACCACGTAGCTAATACAAACTGTCCAAGAAGTCGCGTTTCATACCTTGTTTACCAAGAACGCGATCTCTGTATTTTCACGAGGACCTTCGACGTATCCCCTAAGTGACTGGATTTTTGACTATCAAGTCGTTCAGTTGTCGCACGATTCCGGTGCCTAGCTGCCATGCCACACGAAGGAGGCACGAGGGCTGGGATACTGTCAGGTTGCCAAGCCTAGACAGGGGTAGTCGAGAGGCAGAGGTCGGGTTCGAACCACGAACCTTCCGGTCAGTAAATTCGCGCTCCAACCACATGAGCCATCTCGCCCCCATCAAATCAGTAATAAACGAAACCGCCCGTGCTTCAGCATTCGAGAGCTCCCACGCAACACCCATTTCCCAGGTCACTACCTAGAGCTGGTCCATTAGTTCAGCAGATTGAACTACTGGGGGGAGGGATTCTTAGCATCATACAGCTGTTTTATCTACAATGTGTGTATGACACAGAAAGACGATTTTTGTTGGTAAGTCGTAACGCCAGCGAGTGTCCGCTAGCGATGCCCGCTTGTTTAAGAGTACAGGTTTTTCCTTGGTTCCGGTATTAGCTGGTCACTTGAAAATTATCTAGAAAGGACCCGGTTATCGGGTCCGAACTATGGTAACCAATGGAAAACAATGTGACCAATGTATTTTAATTATTGGTGGGCTTTTGGGACTGAGAAACCATATGACTCCTAGTCGAATCAGCAAAATCTGACGAAGATTTCGTGATGTCAGTAGCTATCTACACAAATCGCTTAAGCTTCCACTGAAGCCAATACAGGGAACTTTTGCTTCCAGCCTAGATAAGCCGGGTTTATTTAGGGGCATGGTGAAGAACTGATGCATGTTGACTTCATATTTATTTCAACTTCATTACGATTCATTACCTGTGAATTCCACGAGGATTACGTTGTAACTGACGGGTGTCCCCCATAGAACCTGTCAATATGTCTTCCGCAGCTGATCGGAGACTGGTTACCTCACGAGAAAGAGTTAAAATTAGATATTCCATGATGAACATTACTGTGAACCCTTGATGGAACACTACCGGAAAATTCAATAGCATATGGTCGGTTTCGCCCTTCTTGAGAATAATCAGTTGGACTTAGTCTGCGATTTTTCGTCCAAGCGCCCCCGGTGCTACTTGACTAGGAATTTTCTGGATCAGTTGATGGATACCCATGCCAATCGCTGGGTCATCCTGCGAGCCACTATTTTGACCAAAACAAATCGCCCAAACATGAGCAATTTTTCCTGTTTCCACTTGATAATTGAAGTTTCTCCGACATGGGTCAGTGAAGTTGTGCGAACACACTGGCCTCCTGTATAAGATATGGAGGGTCCAACTCTCGACATGGCGATCATATGCCCTGGTTTGTCTCCGAGGAGAATGTTGGTATATGCTGTGGTGATTATATCTGATGAGTGAAAAGTTTACAATGTTCTTCCCCTTTGGCACGAAAGTTGAATCGCGAACATGCGTTTTCTGTTATCTTGCTGCCGCTGGTAGAAACTGACCATCGAGTCTATGTGAATTCTTCATTGTGCAGGTTATTATGCAACCTTAAACTGGACCTTTTATTTCTCAACTAAGCCGCACTGACTAAACTTTGTCAACCAGTTCCTTTTTTACAATGTTTTGCATCTGCCGTGCTTGTGAGCACGTGACCCCAGTTTCTTGCGCTATGTCTGCCCATTTGGCTTTGTTGCAAATCTTTTTTATGTACAGTTTGATGTCTCACGCCTAGGGAGATTAATATAGGTCCTAATACGCTGTATTTCTTTTATCCGTATTGACCCATGTGATATATCCGATAAGAAGTGGAGAACAAATGGTTCATTCCCCCATGGTGTTATCTTCAAAAATCCCGGTAACGCTGTTCACATTCGGGTAGTTTGAGGTGCCTGTACTGTGCGAAGTGACTGACTTATTTTCCGGAATCGGGTACAACCACGAGGACAGAGATGACATTTTTCTCGTGCAATAGACTCTTACTACTTGTATGTGGATGAATAGTATATGTTTAATACTCATGTCATCATAACTTGGCATTACTTCATGAGAGGTAAAATCTCCGTTAGAAGAAAAAACTTATTTCTGGTTCGAACAAAAGTGCCCAAGATCTGCACTCAACAAGACACCGAATGCGTATCTACCCATGGGCAACTTCTGCGGTCGAGACCTTCACAGTATTGTGGTACCATCGCATATGAACGTTTAATTACCGAATACTGACAGATTGGTGAGGATCGAACTGAATCCGTTCGCTTTTATTCCTTCCACACAAACTGGCGGAAGCCAACGGAAATTCGTCTATTTAGTTACCTGGTCTACATACCATATAGTTTTGCAAGTCCTCAATCAGATACCTCAGTACGTTACCGTTTCCACTGACGTTGTCAGAGATGCCTCTACACGCTAACAGTGTCGTTCGTCTATTGAAAACCTGGACAGCCGCTACTGTTGTGGCTTTTACTCATTGTGTATCGATGTGTGTAATTATGCGTGTGTGTACACACAAATGCTGTCTTCAGTTAGTGATCCACAAGCGCCACCGCGTGTTATACTGTTTGTGCCATAGTGGACGTTCTTCCTTCGACTTCCGAACCTTCCGCATTCGTTTTATTTTGGAAGAACGGCTGCTGTGCACCTGATGCGACAGCGTATGATGTAAAATATTATTCCAACATATCATACACAATATCTGACGGTCGCTGTGTTGATCCGTTCGTCATAAGCTTCGTTGACTGCTTCACAAGTCGGAATAAACACATCAAAGCTGTTTGGATGTATGACGAATGCAGCCAATTACTCAGTGTTCAAACTGAGGTGAATGAAACTGGTGACATACATCATACCATTATCATCCAGTCATATCTGGAACCTTCTTAATAATCGACGGAGGCAGACGAAACCAGCTGAACTCTTAGAGGAAATGTTAAATAAGCTTCTCCTTGAAGTCGCAACGGGTACTTCCATTGAAGAATGTGTCCAGCACCAGAAGCTGCGTTGGTTGGGGCATGTGTTACGTATGCCGAGCCATCGTTTGCCGAAGAGAGTACTGTTTTCCATGCCCAATTCGGAGTGGCGTAAACAGAGAGGTGGCCAACCCATGACCTGGCAGAGGAGTATGAAGGAGATCACGAAACGCTTGGGTGCTGTCGGTGCTACTCGCCTTCCAGGATGGGGACCGCGTGATCCTCACTGTGCCTGGTTGGAGACACTACGAGATATGGCTGCCAACCGATGTCAGTGGCGTTCTTGTTGTCGGTTTCTATCCAGATTGCCTGAGTGAATGTCTGGAGGTGTAGGCATCTCGGAATGATTGTGTTAAGCTAGCACTAAGTCCCTCCCCCATCCACGTTTACTCTTTTCTCTACAATAAGGCTTTCAAATAAGTCATGGTTGTACAGCAGTGAAGTATCGGTGTTGAACACCGATGTCATGCTGTCGATGATGATGATGATGACTGAAGTCGCAACGACTCACGCAACACGCTTAGATGGCAGTGCACTTAGGATGCTAGCCTGAAAAAAAAACCA